GATTATCATCAACCGAACAACAGACTGCCAGCAAATCTGGAACGAACATCAGCCAAGAGAACGGGGTTGATTCCAAATGAGCTATATTTAGTTTAAGTCGACTTCCCCACCGCATGAGGGATTTCCATCTCTCTGTGCATAGCCTTCGTCGACTAGTAGAAAGCATTCAAAACTGTTGAGTACAACAGTACAACACAACGTAGACTGTACTAGCAAAACTGGGCATTGCCAACAGTTGCGTCAATCAGACGAAGGAAACGAGCTGAAAAGCTGAAACGAACTCTTGCTTTTTCACGAACGTAACGTTGTTCGATATCCTGTTCCAATTTCCGTAAGAAATGACGTGAAACAAGGGCACGCCATCTCCTCCGAACTCTTCACTGCCTGTTTGGGAATGGTGTTCCAGAGGATGAACTAGAAGGGTGGGATTAGCATCAATGGTGAACAGTTCAGCTACTTAGGCTTGCTGATGGAGTGGCTTTGTTTGCGGAAAATGTCACTCAGGTTAAAGACATGCTGCAAGAGTTCAAGAGAAACAACGCAGAAGTCGGATTGCAAATCAATCAGTCAAAGACGAAGATGCTATGATTTTATGCCCTTATGAAGATAGTACTAAACAGTGGAAAGATTGAAGATGCCGATAAATACATTACATGGGCATGAGACTAACGTATGAAATGATAAAATTTGGAGAGATTCCACCAAGAATTAGGGTCGGATGACGCGTGCCCAATTCCATCAAGGACTTTTTTCTGGACAACATCAGAAATGTCTTCTTTAAGTTTGAAAGGCAATATTATACAGCTCTAAGACGTGAGCACTCATTAAAACTGAAGATAACTAGCTATCTGTCACCTACAGAGACATAGAAAGAAAAATTTTGGGAATTTCATCCGGCGATCATGTCCTTAGCACGGAGATCAGGCAGCGGATGGGAAGCTGCAGTCGAAAGCGAAACGGATGTGACCGAGTGCCAGCATGTAGCTCAGTAGACGGAAGGGAGATTGTTATTAATGATCATCGACTGGTGCCTTTACGAAATGAATAGACTATTTGGTCGCCTGCCACGAACGGTAGGAAAATTATATCAGGAGTCGGGAAGGCCGTACTTCGAGGGAGAAGGCTCGAACCCGCCAGAAATGACAAGTTGCGGTCGGAACGATTACCGGCCGGTAAAAGTGACATATTTATTTTTATTTCCTTTGGATTTCACTGAAATACAGGACTCATTCGAGATCTTAATCAGGTAATAAATTGTCAACTCTAGCAATCGTTAGGGAATGGTGGCGCGTGACTAAGTAGTCGGCATTGAACTCCATAGATGACGGGTTCGAATTTACTTAAGGAGCTGTTTTCGTCTTTTCTGAAAATATCCGTGAGTAAGGAATTTAATCCGCATTGCTTCTGTTATTTTCAGATAATAGGGACAGTATGATTCTCTAGTAGGTCCATGCCGGAAAATGGGTAAGGCGTACGGCCATGCTGTCTGATATGTTCTCCTTCTGTGGCAGTATTTCGCCTTGATCCGTCTGATAACTAATTTTCTAGTATAATAATCAGCACAAAGTGCAACCACGATTTCGCTCAAGTTTTAGGTTCATCAGCAGCAATTTACATATTTAGCGTTCACGTGCCTGAAGATCAACATATTCTGTTATTTTGCTGGTTACTGCTTCCATATTATTGGCTCTATTGGGTCATTGCGCAGGTAGACCGAAAAACGAAATTCAGAATAATGAGTTTGAAACATACCAAAGATTGGGAGGAACAGCCAAGGGATTCCGCAGACATTCGCCTATCAGAGGTAAGTTGCTTGTGGAAAGTCGTTTGTTTCCACAGATTGCGATGACATTTTTTTCAGTCGTCAGTCTGAGCCAATCTTTCTGAAATCTGACAAGATAAGACTCCGATCAATCACAAAAGCGGTTTTAATTTTAAAAGCAAGTCTGCTCCGCTTATCGATTTTTTAATTATCGCATTCTTACTTGCCCACAACATGAAGCTGCTACACTCCAATATTTTCACGGCTATGGTCAATTTACTTTCATCTAGCGGGTAGTTCTTGGTCTTCCCGTATATTACTGCGGATGATTGGTTAAACACCTTGTAGACTTTCGGCAGGATAGTGATGCGTCGAAAGTTCTGGAGGTTTTCAGAATCAGAATCATATTTTCGGAACATAAGAATCGTCGAAAGAACTCTATCACGCTTCTGGCTATTTTTTCACCGCTGTACTCTGTAAATCGTGCGGCAAGGGCATTGAACTGGGTGGGTACTTCTGACTGTTCCTTAATGTTCCAGTTTTATGCTGTCCCTGCTGGGACATCAGCCGCCTTTGATTTTCTTGATTACCCGCTTTACATCATTCCAGGTAATAGGGGGAACGGCTTACAGGACGTCCAGGTAATAGGGGGAACGGCTTACAACGTGCGACTCCTTCCGACCCACCTCTACGCTCGAGGAGTAGAGGAACTCTAGAACCTAGTGTAGATTGCTTTCATGCGGCAGCAATCCGTGGTTCTTGTTCCTCCTTCGTCCTGTAATGGTACCGCAATCCTGTTTTACTTATAAATAGCCGCTTTCCGCGTCTTTAAGGCAAATTTTCTTTAATGCGGCCACTCCAACTTTGTTTTTATGTACTCATAGACGCCGCTAGTTGAATTTATACGACTAGACTTTGCTTACCTGGACCAACTACTACATTCAATCCACTGTGTTACACGTCTATAAGAATCTCTCTATGAGCATAAAGCGAAACTTATGTCAAACTATCAAATTTACAACATTTCTATTTTATTTTATGATTACATTTTCTTGGCAGCGAGAACTCATTGATTCAGTGCTCATCATGCGGTCGACAGTTTCTCTGTGTATATTAGCAGATGTTTGCTTCTCTACCGTTTCCGAGTTTTTCATTATTTACATATTGAGGGAATAGCTCTGTGAGTAAACAGCTAAGTCTATCGAACTGGCCAACTTACACATCACAGCTATCCTTCTATGACGCGCAATTATTCGAGCTTTCATTAATTCTACCTGGCTTCACTTCGCAGAGGTCGACACTACGTTCTACAGAATTTAGTTGTGCGCAACACTGGTTTTTGCAACTTATATCACTATTACATATTGAGAAAGCTCACTG